ACTTAATTTCGTTTTAAAGATTTTAATTGGACAGCGACAATGACGACCCTTTTTTATTTCATTCACACCGATGGAACGCACATGCTTTCCGTGTGTGGTCCGCTTAATCTTTGTGTTCTAGTCTCACACATACATTCACAAATTGTCATCCTCTCACCGTGTGCATCCCTGCATTAAAACTTCCCAACCAAGCTGCCGAAGTTTCTGGCGAGTCACTGTAGTTGTGTGTGGCCTCGTTACTCTGGTGGAACACGACACCTTTCCTGTTGGCCAATTCTGGCGTTTCTGGTCAATTGCTAACTTAAAGATGTCCAGTGATTGACAGTAGAGATCAGATTTTAGTGTTTGGCCATATGGAAACAACTCATAATAAATAATTCTCTTCCAGTCCCACCAAATGTATAGCAGAATCTTCGTGGCCGTTAGTCCTGGTTTGGCCACCGTTTGAGGTGCTTCATCGCTCTTTGACCACGATCGTATTCGCAAAGGGTTATCGCATGTGATCCACTTCTCATCTAAAACCACCATCCGTTTAAGAAATGGGTCTATGCCATTCCGGCTGGCCAAGGCTTCGCAGATGGAAATTCGACCATGCAATTTTTTCTGTTAATGGGAGTGACACCCAAACATCAAGCTTCTTTTTGAATCCAGCTTTAAAAATGTTTTATGGTCGACTTTTAGCTCCTGGCCGATGTTACAACTGCTAACATGCCGTTCAACTTGAATCATTTCTCCGATTTTATAGACATTTTCTATGACCGGCTTACCTGTACGATGTGCATCATAATTGGCTGTCGACCATGCAATTTTTTCTGTTAATGGGTGTGACACCCAAACATCGAACTTCTTTTTAAATCCAGCTTTAAAAAGTTTTATGGTCCACTTTTAGCTCCTGGCCGATGCTACAACTACTAACATGCCGTTCAACTTGAATCATTTCTCCGATTTTATCGACATTTTCTACGACCGGCCTACCTGTATCGTAACCATAAACACCATTCACACTTTTAGCCGCATGGCTTGCATTTTCGCCTTTGTCAAATAAAAACTTTGAAATGTACCGATTTTTCTCTTTGTTCACTTCCATTTTTAACACCCTGTAACTCACAATTAAATACCAAAAAAATTACTGTGAAATCTCACCCTCCCTAACGACCATAAATCTAAAATTGTTTTATCGGTACTTTACGAGAAATCTGTCAGTACAGCCATCTTCCGATAAAAAATGGATTTCTTTTCCCCAACCTATATTATCAGAATTTGTCCACTTTTTAGGGTAGACCCCATAACTCCAATGTGTACTCTTTGTCCAAAGGCAAGGCTGGGTTTTTGAAAATGCGTACTATAACGGCACGAAAAGCACCAAATGTGGAACCATTTGTATTTGGCGAACCGATAGAGCTAGAACTCTTAAATTTAAAATTAGGGACACTAATGAAGTTTAAAATATTTCTAGCAAAGGGTTTTTGAACATTGGAACTATAAATACCCGAAAAGTATTAAAATGTACTAAATTTGGTACAATTTCATAGAATGTGAATGGATAGGTTTAAAAATTTAAATTTTAAAGGCGAATTAAGGTTAAGAAGTAGAGTCGATATAAGGAGGTGGTTTTATAGCGTGTACCCACTTTTACGAAAAGTACCAAACTGTACTAAATTTGGTACAAATTGAATTTGGAGAAACGGATGCAGCTAGAATCCCGAAATTTCGAAATAAGATTACTACTGCTTTGTAGAATTGAGGTATGTTGGTAGTTTGGAAATTCGCTATTACGTGTACTAAATTTGGTACAATTTGAATTTTGGGTGAACCAATAGATCTGGGATTTAATGTCGACCAAATCGATTATTCATTTAGCTTTAAACTAAATTCACATGCTCATAAAATATTGGCCTTGTGTACCAGAAGGAGGGAACCAACTAGTCCCATATTCGGACTTGATCTAGGCTTGGCAAAAATAGTAGTTTGTATAAAGTTTGGTTCAAATCGAATAGTGCCTTCACCTGACATTGATAATAATAATAAAAAACAAGAAATATATAAAAATAAAAAAATAATGTTGATTTATAAATATTGAAAATGATGACACTTTCGTGAGGGTGGTCCCCAGAAGGAGTAAACCAATGAATCCCATCTTTGGACTTTTTCTACACTTGGTGAAGATAATAGATTGTGCAAAGTTTGGTTCAAATCGGAAGCTACCAGAAGGAGTGGACCAATAGATCCCATTTTGGGACTTGATCTAGGCTGAGTAAAGTTTAAAGGTTGTGCAAAGTATACTTCAAATCGGACATTTCATTCGCCTGATATTGGATTTGTAGATATTGAAAATGTTGACCATTTGCGGGGGTGGTACCAGAAGAAGTGGGCCAATGGATGCCCACTTCGGACTTGATCTAGGTTTGGTAAAGGTAATAGGTTGTGTAAGGTTTGGTTCAAATCGGACTATTCGATTTGAACCAAACTCGCATGATATTACAAAATTAAATTTCACCAGAATTTTGACTTTGTGTGGCGGTACCATAAGGAGTGGACCGATAATCCCCATCTTCGAACTTCAAAACTAAGTGTGGACGAAATATTAGGATATGCAAAGTTTGGATTAAATCGTCTATTCCCTTCGAGAGTTCCCAGCCAGACAGACAGACGACAGAAACATGGATTCTAAAACCAATATTTCGATGAGACACATTTTCATTTTCACCGTATCAAAGTATATATGGGAAATTACAAAAATCTTTTAAATTCCTTGAAACTGAGGTTTGCAAGGTTATAACTCGCGAAATATGAACATATTGCATATAATTTAAATTCATTTCTATAAAATGTAGTGTTCTTGTCAAAATCTGAAAATATTGGTAATAAATAATAAGTTGCGTGGAAGCTATGATGGTGGTAATGTAAAAAAATGGGTGAAAATGTGTTGAAGCCAACGAGTTTCTTTGTGTTCCTACCTGATTTATGGCTAAAGTACACAACGCACGCACATGTGATCAGTGACTAAGTTGCAGAATACCCCATGAACAATATGGTTCTAATGTATGATTTTTCGATATAATCACTGCATCCACCTAAAATGGATGCTGAAATTTTGAAGCCGGATTTTCGTTGTTTTTTGAATTTTTCTTATAATTAGGACGCTCATCCAGATAATGGACTAAACTAATTATAGGATTGTAGAACTCCAGATTTTGCTTCGTTTAGTGTATATCTCATGCATGTGTTCACCGTACGTTCTTTGCAATTGGGTTCCAAAGACTAAAATTTGGTGCGTAAATTTTTATAAAAAACATATTTTTTGAGTCTAAAATTAAGAAATTCCATTCAAATTCCGTGGAACCCCGTGTGATTTTAGTTTTTTTACGTGGCGGATATAATCCATGTTCAATTCCGCCCAATAAAACGGCGGATATAGATACCTTGAATGTAGGAAAAACTGCAAAAACTTATTTCGACAAATTCGCGTAAATAATCGCGATTTTCTTCGAATTGATTTCACATACATTCATTTTTGTGTTATCATATTCGCGAACCTGTGTGAAAATAGGTCAAAAATATATCGATACGCGAATAATATGCGTATTTTATCCAAAATCGATTGTGGAGGCACATCCGCGGTTCTTAACCGATCCTTTTAAAAAAGGTGTCCTTTTGTGTATTTTCATAGGAGATTACTGAAATCGGATTTTTAGTAATTTTTGGGGTTTTTGCACAGTAAAGTGCATCGAGCGGCACACTTGACCTCTTAATGAAACCTCGAAAAATGCATAATTATTGGAAGAGATTGATTCGGTATATATGAAAACCTCATGCCATCAACTGATTTCAACTGATTTAAAGGAATTTTGTAATTTCCCATATACCCTCATAAGGCTGAGAGTATAAAAATTTACCGTAGCATAGACCGATGTTGATGAAGGTCCCTAACGTTAACCGTCCGAACACATGGGCGCTGGTCTTGTCGCTACCGGCCACTGGACATTGTCATAGTGGTCAAATTTTTAATAATTATATATTTTATTTTTCCTTAAAATTGTATCATATTATCATAATATTTTATAAAAAAGTATATATAATATATCGATACTCGGAACAATTGTTACATTTAAAATTTAAACATAAATTAATCAATATTTTATGTTAAAGTGTGTATACAACATAAAAATAAAAACAAATAACAGCATATGACGATAAATGTCATGTGATTTGATTTTGCATAATTGCTGAATAATTTATCTTCTTTTGTGGTCTCATTTGAAATTCAAATTTTGTTGCTGTTGTTAAAACAATGATTTATTGCAGATTGTTTTTTTTCATAATTTTCGGTGAACTTTAATGGTATTATTGAAATATAATTATTCATTCTAATAGTTTTTCGGCAAAACTTTCAACTGTGGGGGAGTGTTTTTGTTTGTAAAGGTATCCGAAAATGTATTTAAATGAAAACAAAAATTCCAATTAAAAATATATTTAATAATTTATTTATTTTTTGATAAATGTCATGCTGAGTCATTGTTAGAAATTATATCAAATAAAATAAGAAAAAAAATATTTGGAAATCAAAGTAATTGATTTGAATCATTGATTTTGTGGTTTGAACTATTCAACATTGAAATGTTTTGATGACATTTGCAGTGATGGCCCCAAAACCCTATACTGCTGCTAATGAATCCTTGTGTAGGTGTGAGAAAGAGAAAGATACACAAGGACTCGTCGTCATGGAATTAGGATACTTTTTACAAAAATATTGCTCATTTGATTTGACTAAAGATCTGAGTTTGAAAAATGACCTGCAATAACTCAAAAACTTATCCTATGGCTATATAATAATTTTCCGAATAATATATTTTTTAAAGAATTTCTTAAGAGATTAAGAGAAGGCGACAAATGGTTTTTAAAAAAACCAACTTTTTGGCAGGAATAGCGTTATATATTTATGTATATTCTTTAATTTATTTTACATAATTAGTTATGCATTTCTTTTGTTGTTGACTACTCTACTGACCACCGCCACCACCACCACCATTGGCATTGTCTGTCTTTTTACGTGAAGCCTTTACCGACAATGATGTCATACTGCCACCGCAGTTATTACCATTCCCCTGAGCGTTGTTGGCCGTATTCCCCGTCGAGTTGTTGTTGTTGTTGTAGAAACGTTGTTTCAACTGGTCCTTCCATTCCTGTTCCAATTTAACATAGATGCCACCCAATGGCCGGTTCGGTTTGTTGACATTGACATCGGTGCCATTCTTTTTTCGCACAAGCGCAATAACCTGTTTCATTACCTTCTCTTCAAACTCGCGTTGATTATCTTGATTGCTGCGTGCCGACAATTCGCCAGACCAATAGCGACCAGGATTTAAAGGTTGTTTGCTGTAGGTTAACGAAAAATGCCGAATCACATATTGTTAATCGATTTATTTCATTGTTACCTCTTTCGATTATTCTTCTTGTTGTAATGCTTTTTCGGTGCGGTAATTTTACTATCGGATGATTCACAACCATCACTGCTACTCGTCGAAAAACTGCTGCCATAATCACCTAATCCAAATTTACGTGAATTGGCTCGTAGATTTTCCAAAGTGTTGTCGGTACTTTCGGTTTCGGTGCTAGAGTCAGCGAAAAATTTCGATGATGCCGGTCGTACACGTCTGGCAATGCGGCTGTGGGATTCTTGAGAAAATGAAAATGAAGATTATTTTATTTACGGTCAGATATGGCATTTTATAATTATTATGATTAGATTGTTGACCATAAAATATGAATTTTAAATACCATACCATGGGTGCTATGCGTGGTAAATTTTTGTCAGCAGGTTTTTTACCCTTGAGATAACACAATAGCTGATTTTGTGTCTTCCATGCCTACACAATTTCAATCCTTGCCTACACAATTTGGTAAAAGACACCGTTGGAAACCTAGTCTTGTCTATAGTTGTCATTAAAAAATTGTCCAATTCTCGTTTTTTCCCTGTTGAAGTCTTCCCACTTCTTCACAAGTAGTGTCTTGTTCTACAGACCAACGACTTCGAGCATGCGTTCGGTTGTGAACTCGCTGCCACAACCTCTGTCGAAGACAGTTGCCTTTTGTAATGGAGGAATGTCAAATTTCCTCTCCAGCTTGAGTTTGATTGTTACGTTTGTCGAATTAGATAATACACCTTGAATTGCAGCTGGACAAATCGAAAGGGTGCCTCCTTGCAGCTGGTGATCCAATATTTTATCTTTGATTGCATCGAACTCCTTCTTAAGGATCTCCTGTTTCACTTTGCCGGTCGTACTATTTTTGCTCGCTGCCACAACTGCTGACGAAGACACTTGGCTTTTGTAGTTAAGGAAATTCCTATTTCCTCACCAGTTTGAGGTGAAATTCGTTCGTAGATCCAACATCTAATTGTTGACCGCATCCACCATTTCCTTATGATGTTCCTGTTTCACTTTATTGGATACACTATTTTCGTCGATTACTGTGTAGTAGGGCTCGACTCTGTAGAACCTCCTTGTGTGGTACCTTTTTCCAATAAAATGTCGGATCCTTACCTGTTGTTGCTACAATCTTCCCCTTTTGTACAATCTGGTTAGTCCTTTTGGAATTCATGGTCTAAATGGTAAATTCCGATACAACGCTCGTCTGCTCGATACTATAGCCAGTCTGCCGGCCGCAGTCGATGGATTCCCGAGGCAGTCTCGTTTAACTTTGGGTAAGATGATTTTCTTCTTTGTATCAGCCGACTGGAAGTTCTATTTCTACATTGCGGATTTGGTATTTGTCTGCTCTTCCGGAGACCTAATCCTCTTCGCCGCTTTCTAGGAAGTGCACGGAATATCAGACTCATCCTTCTGGACATCAATCTGCAATTCGCTCTTGTTTCTCCGGTTTAGTCTGGGCAGTTCCGTTTCTGTGTCCCAGTTTCCGCCTCTGTGCTCCAAATTGTTTTTCGCTGCTGCCTTGGATGTCAAACGTATCCTTCTGGGCATCCGTCTGCTCTTCAATTTAGATTTTTTTCTTTGTATCAGCCAACGGGAAGCTCATTTTCTTCCTTGCGGGTTTGGCGTTCTTCCGGACACCAAATCCTCTTCCTAGGTAGTGCAAAAAAGTCAGACTCATCGTTCTGGGCATCAGTCTGTTGTTTGCGTCTGGTTCTTCGGATTATCCTGACATGCGTTAATTCTGAGCGTGGGCAATATTTCTTGATAATTGCACCCTCTTGCCCGATTTAAGATCGACAGCACCTCTTCCTTACACTGACATATTTACCGAATATTCCCAATATTGAGTACAACTCTTCAATTACTTGTTCAGATCCCCTTGTGTTGTGATGTTCGGATTATAATTGTGGCCTATAGATCGTCTCGAAAAAAATATAAACAAAAATTAAGTTTTCGGTCCACTTCATCCCAAAATTTTGATCTGATCATCACCAAAAATTATACCCGATATCCCTGACCATACCTGGATCCTCATTGAACATTTCAAAGCGATCAGCGCTATATTTCCGCCCTCTAGTGTGGTATTGGGTTACTAAATAATGTCTGAATACGTAAGCTCCTGTAAATATTTAAGTGTAACTCCCACATCTGAGTACATACGACCATATAATTGGTATCAATTTAAAGGTCAACTAATCCTCTTGAACACACTATAAACTTCTCGGGCCTTGGTCCTTCAGGGGCAAATATATACGCCATAGAATACAAATTTTGTCATTTTTCACACAAAAGTCAGGGGTCATTTGACCCGCTAAATATTGACCGATCATTATCAAAACAGGCATGCTTATTCCTTGGCCCGATCCCCTTCTCTATGCAAAAATTCGCGGTGTTTGGGCCATAATTGCGGCCTCAGGAGCGACCAGAAAAACCGACAAAAATAAAGTTTTTGGTCCATTTCATCCCCTAAATATTAACAGATCTTTTCCAAAAACAATAGGGGTCTTCATTGGCCAGAACCCATTCTACATGCAAAATTTCGTGAAGATTGGTCCATAACTGTGGCCTGTATCGTGTTTACAAATTATAATGGACAGACGGACGGACGGACACACACATGTCTAGATCGACTCAGCTAGACGAGATATAATGATCGGTATACTTAAAGTTGGGTCTAGGACCAATATTTCGCGGCGTTACAAACTTTTGGGGCTGCACAAAGCGCCAGTTTCCGTTTCTGTGTCCTAGATTACTGCTACTATTTTGCTGTTAGCTTGCTCACTTCTTCCACCATCTTATCAGTATCTTCGCTCATCCGGCATTCTAAGACAGTTAGTCAGTCGAACTTGAATTTCTGAATCGAATTTTAAGTTCGAGGATCGAGATTACTTCTCTCCGGTGGTTCTTGAACGACACCGTTAAGTTCAATCGGTCTGAACTTTTTATATATTCGTAATGAAGTGGTCATTTCAAATGTCTAAAATCTATCTGAGCTCTTATTAGCGGGCTATATTTTTTGTAGAAAGACCTGATTTTACTTATGACCTTTTCGGCAGAAAAACGTATCCAAAATCCCTAAATACCGAATAATGTTGGGTACCGTTATATGAGAGCTACGCGAAAACTTATGTTAATTTTTATAATATTTGGTAGGGTGATTTCCTATCCTATGAGAATATTAAATACTAAGTTACAGCCGACTCGCATGAAAACCTCTTACAATAATCAAATTACCGAATATTATGGGTACCGTTGTTCTTGGACTCACCATCCGGATTTATGACTGGCAATAGCCCTTGACGGCAACGTTGCGGCATTAGCGATAAAAGCATCCAGCGGGATTCCGTTTCTCCACTCGCCATAGTTTCCAACATTTTCGGGGGAGGACAATCACCTAGAGCATGTCCCTCAGTGGCCAATTGAACAATTGATAAAATGGAGCGTTCACGATCAGTTTCCACAAGAACGCTATGTTCACGAAATTGACATCCCTAAAAATATATATTTTTTAATTCACATTTTTCTCAAAGATTACGAAATGTTACATTTGGTCCCGGTAAAGTTTCAAAACGAAATGCCTGTTGACCACAGCAAGGATAACGGCCAGCGGGACCAGTTGTACGGCCATCAGTCACCGGTCCCAGAAATGTTGGCGCCTCAGGATGATAACGACAGCAAGACATCTGGAAAATGCATAATAGTGTGAGTTAAAATTCTAATTATGGCACCCCACTGTACCTGATAAACAGGAAAATACATTTCGCACAAACAACAGTACAGGTAGTGGGCATGGCCCCATAATTTCCAATAGACACGACGCCATGATTTCAACTCTTTAAATAACTGGGCAATGTATAAATTCAAATCCCACATGGTATCACGAACATGATGACTTATCAGCTGACCCCAACGATTCAGCCGCACATTACCCTGTATACAAGGGACATAGGTTTTCATGGTGTTGGTCAGGCAGCGATTGCATCTGAAAAAAAAACACGCGGAAATATAAAAAAAAATAATTCTGAAAATTTTGTGCATAGAAAATGTTGCATACTTGGAACAACGAAATAATCCAGCCAAACTATAATAGTGACCCCTTAATGCCTCTGGTTCTGGTTCACATAAACTCTGTATTAGTTTCGTCCACAGCCTTGGTAATAAACGATCCTTTTTGTCACGCACCATTTCCAATTCGACATTTGTAAACATATCCGCCAGGCGAGTGATAATCGAATCGTTGAGGCACGACAGATTTGTAGAGGCCTTAACGACTTCTCCCAGACGCGAGTGGCAAAAGCTCAGGCAATCCAATAGCAAAGGTTCCATCTATAATGTGAAAGAAAGTCATGAAAAGAAACAGCAAAGCTCGAAATATTAGTCGTGTAATTTGACATTTCGGGTTCTTAGAGGGCAATTCCCAACTTTTCATATTTCTCTAGGTACCGCCTTTTTTTGGGCTGCTGTTCTCTTATTTTACAAGCGATACTTCTATTAATAGGCATTTCTGAATTTTTGAAGATAAAATAGCAAACTTCTTTCTGTCCAATTTTTGGTATTTTCTTGAGCCAATATGTATTTTTTCTAAATTGGCATTGGTTCATATTTTAACCCTTTCAGTGTCAAATAAAATTTTTGTCGGAATAAAAATCTAAAAGTTTGTACTTAAAATCATATAAAGGCATATAGTTTAGAAAAAAAGCAATTTTCATTTTAACCCTCGGACAGTTTCGTCTGTTTTTCAGCAAAAACAAAAACATCAAAGTTAACGGTACATAGGATAACCGAAAAATCGCAAAGAAAGAGAGAATTTTTAAATGTCGAATATATTCGACAAAAACACTGAAAGGGTTAACATGGACCCGCTCCATTTTCGGCATGTTAAAGATATAAGCCGAATTTTCCAAACTAAGCGTGTACCATTTTTTATTTGATTTTCTAAATCCTACCAAAATTTCTGGCATAAGGCTAAGGGTTCCGACCAGGTCTTTGATCGATAAGAGTAACTTCAGGTAATCGATAAGAAGACCTCAAGGCCTTCTACAAAAAAGTCCCACAGGTCTTCGATAAGAAGACCTACAGTTCTTCGATAAGTAGATTTCAAGTCCTTCGATAGACCTCAAGATCTACGATGAGAAAACTTTCAGCGTCGATAAGAAGACGTTTATGCCTTCTATAAGAAGACCTTCAATAAGAAGACCTCCACTTCTTCTAAAAAAAATACCGCCAGGTCTTACGTAGGAAAATCTTTAGGTCTTTGATAAGTAGTCTTCAAAATCTTCGATAAGAAGTCATCAAGGTCATATATAAGACCGCCACGTCTTCGATAAGAAGAGCTTCAGGTCATCTATTAGAAGAGCTTAAGATCATCTATAAGAAGAGATTCGATAAGAAGACCTACAGGTCTTCGATAAGAAGACCTACAGTCTTCGATAAGAAGACCTGCAGTCTTCGATAAGAAGACCTGCAGTCTTCGATAAGAAGACCTGCAGTCTTCGATAAGAAGATCTCAAGGCTTTCTATAGACCTACAGGTATTCGATAAGAAGAGCTTTAGGTCATCGATAAGAAGACCTCCAGAAGACATCAAGACTCTCGATAAGAAAACCTCAAGGCCTTCTAAAAGACCTCAGGTATAGGTCTTAGATAAGAAGAGCTCAAGGTCGTCTTTAAGAAGACTTCCAGGCCTTATATAAAAAGAGCTTAAGGTCTTGGATAAGAAGAGTTCGTGGTTTTAACTAAGAAGACCTTCAGGTATTCTATAAGAGGGCCTCCACGTATTCCATAAGAAGACCGATAATAACGTCCAGGTCATCGATAAGAAGGCCTATATTAAAAATTAGTTCCTTATCCTCAAAGAACCCAATTTCGGGATTCTATCAAAAAATATTCTGCCAAATTATATCTCACCCTCCAGGAAACTGAAATTTACAGTCACTTCGGAGGGATATATCGACAAATGGACTTATATCAAAAATGTTCTGCACAGATTTTTCTCGTCCTGTAATTTACATCAAAGATTTTGCTCACCCTTCCCGGAGTGTCAAATTACAAATTAGGGTTCCGCACTTAGAGTATGTGGACTTATAATTCCCTAAGAACAAAAGCAATAGTCACTTCGATCTTGACCTAACTTTGGATATATTATTCCAAAGGCAAATTTTTAACCAATATTGACAAAAAAGAAGATGGTGAAGAAGAGTTCTGTTCGCATTTCCTTTTTATCTGAAGGTTGAGGTAAAAGAGAAACACGAACATGTCCTTACCTGTAAAAAGCTGGCCGATACCAATATGGGCACCACATTATTAACATTCAAATTTGGTGGCCCATCAGATAGATCAGCTGCACTCGATACGGAATCCGATTTTACCCATTTCATAAGCCAATCGAATATTTGAATATCGCAATGTACGGATATGTCCATGTCCTCTAATTTTTGACCGGCAGTAACATCGGCAAAATAGCCCATCTTGCTGACTAACAAACTCTGAGGACACTGGAAATCTTTGGAGGTGTTCTTAACCTCATCGCAGACATGGATTATGACCTCGGGTCTAATATATAAAAATATATTGTTTTTAACATTTCAAAAATAATATTTTTTTATTTGAAATCAAATACTCACTCCTTTTTGTTGGATGGACCCGTGTGGATAGTTGTCATGGTTTTTGCCACACTTAATGTTGTCGGAGCTTTGACCGATGATTTTGTAGTATTGGTATTCGACTCCTTGCCTGTTGTTGATGTTGATGCTTCAGTTTCGCCTTCTGTGGTATTTTTTGCTTCAGTTATAGTTGTGGATGAAGCTTTGCCGTTCGTTTCTTTACCTTTGGGCTTTAAGCGGTTATTGTAATTAGCCGGCAATGGTACGGGACATATGAAGGGCAACACGGCATCCAAAATACCTTCATTGAGAATGAAATCTAATTTTTCATTTAATTTCGGATGTAAAGTTCCATCAGAGCCGGGATGGCTTGATTTTGCCTTGGCCATTGTTATTGAATTTTGTCTGCGCAAACGGTTTATCTCAGTCGTAAAACCACCACCACCACTTCCTCCACTACTACCAGTACTGGGACCACTGTCTGTCACCTCATCGGTGATATTTGTTGTTTGCCTCGGACTATTTCGATAACCAAATAAATCATTTACCAAACGATTATTGGCCAATTGTTGAAAATCTATGGACTTCTGGGAATTATGGGATTTTGAAATTGCACCTGTGTTTGGAGTTTTTCCAACGCCATGATGATGTTGATGATGCAAGTGATTACTACTATCCTTTCCGATTTGTGTCGTTGTCTGAGAAATCATGTCATTGACATGACAGGACAAATTTAAAAAATCCAAAAACTCATTTAAATTGATTTCCTTTTCAGGGCTGCCACTTTTTGTATCACACATTATTGGTATTTGGTGATTTTTAGAATTTTTATTATAATTTGAAGACATTTTAGTGCAATTAAATTGAATCTTTTGATTCACAAGAGATGAAAATTTACTTCAAATAAAGTTTTAGGCAAGGATGTTTGTTTAGATAAACAAATATTGTGCTACTTAGCAACGGACACCATACATAAAGGTTCGTGTCTGGGCTAAGTGAAGGAATTGCGAAAACAACTCTGATGCAAGAATATTGAAAAAAATTGGTGTGTATATTTTGAAATCACGGGATATTTGATATTGAAAATATCATATAATGGTAATTAGGTATTTTTTCATTCTCATTCGGCAACAAACCTTCGTACCGAAAACTATCAATATTGGTCAACTTTTTACAAGAAAACCCCATACAACGATTGCTTTCAAATTTCGATATTTTGGGCGCGTTTTTCAAACGAATTGGCTACAATTTTATATTGTCAATATTGGCCCAACTTTCTGGCTAAGATAATAATATAACCGTTATAATATTTTTAAGGGGTTATGACATGTGTGAATTTTAAAGAATATTTAAAGAAAGGCATGGAGGTTAAAAGAATCAAAATTTTGGTCAAGTTATACGCCTTCCAATACATAGATGAGTGCAAAAATACTACAGTACCAAATTGTGTATACAGTCCAAAATATTTCCCTTCGATATTGTATTTGCTTTTGTTGATATTATACTTTTATTTTTCGAAAAGAATGTAATATATCTCCCGAATGCAAGGATGAAGCGACATGAACTTTTGTTCATATCGTATTTAGGATAGTTACTTTAAATCTGTGCACAGAAAATAGTTCTATTGTCACGGGTAAAAATTCGGGCCACAAAGGGTAAAAGTCGCAGATTTTGTTTTAATTTTAGTTGGTTTGGATTTAAAAAAATATTTAATTGTGGATTTTTTGAAAAAAATACCTTTTTTTTAGGTCTATGAATGAGTATTTTTTAGAGATTATTTTTTAAGGGCTATTAGGCGTTATTTTTTAAAGGACATTTTTAAAGTATTATAACACGTGGTATATTTATACCCTACACAACTATGTTGTCAGGGTATTATAGCTTTGTGCAGCCCAAAAAGCTTGTAACGCCGCGAAATATTGGTCCTAGACCCACCTTTAAGTATACCGATCGTCATATCTCGACTAGCTGAGACGATCCAGACATGTGTGTCCGTCCGTCTGTCCATTATAATTTGTAAACTCGATACAGGCCACAGTTATGGACCAATCATCACGAAATTATGCATGTAGGATGGGTTCTGGCCAATGAAGACCCTATTGCTTTTTGTGTAAAGATCGGTTAATATTAAGGGAAGACATGGACCAAATTTTTGTCGGTTTTTCTGGTCGCTCCAGAGGTCGCAGTTATGTCCGAACATCGTGAAATTTTACATGGAGAAGAGGATCGGGCCTAAGAATAAGAATAAGCATTTATTTAGCGGTTCAAATGGACCCTGACTTTTGTGTGAAAAGTTACAAAATTTTTATTCTGGGGCGTATATACTTGCTCCTGAAGGACATATACTCGAGATATTGATATTATGTCCAAGATGAGTTGTTGACCTTCAATTTGATATCAATTATATGGCTGTATGTACTCCGATGCGGGAGTTATACGTAATTAAGTAAAGGTGACTATGTGCATATTATTACTATTACTCCATTAGAGGACGGAAATGTCACGCTGATCGCTTTGAAATTGTACATGAAGTTCCGATTATGGTCAAGGACGACGCCTATAGTTTTCGGTGAAGTTTTGATTTCATTCAGGGTGTTTAATTTCAAAACACATATTTCATTGGATTCCTATCCAATTAATTTTAAGCTAATTGTTGTACAATTTGTCTACGTTAGAATTTGTTACTACCCTTAAGTACAGCTTTGTGCTTGAAGGACTGTCAAATTCTAACGAGTTTTTAGCGCCGCTTTGCATCATATATGCTAGTTACATTGTAACTTTTGTTAATTCGCTTGCTTGGATTACGTCCACACAACACTATTACAACTAAGGTAAAATATTATTTCCAATAATATTACCAAATAATAAATAAAACCCCACAAGTCAATATTGACAAAATTTATAAAACCAATTTGTTTTTTATTTCTTCTCTTTTTTATTATTTACGTTGCTACGCAAACATTTGGTCCTTCGAGCCGGATAAATTAGTTGTTTACAACAATTAATTAAAAAGTATTCTTCTTCTTCCCCTAGAAGCTCAACCAGCTGCCAATACATCCATCATCACCATACATCTCATCAAATTTCTCATCCTCATTTCTTTATTTACAACTAAATAAAAACTACAAGGTACGTAATTTGATTTAAGAGAGTGCATTCGGAGTGTTTCGTTTTTATTTCGCAAAAATATACAAACAAATAAACATAATCTCCGGTCGTCTTACAATACGCGGCTTATTGTTGTTGTTAATATTCTCGCAACCCATTTGTGCACAAAGTGATATTTCTCTACGAGAATAATAAAATAAAAAACAGTGAGAACAGTGAAAAAAGTGTCTAGTCATAGTTCAGTGCGTGTTTATACAAACAAAAAGCCTACATTCTGTTTGAATAATAAAAAAAATAAGGCTATCGCACAAAAGAAAATAGAAAAAAATACAATAACAAATTTACAGACACTGAGTGAGCCACACAACAGCATTAACAGCATTAACCATTATTGTTGTTGTTGTTAATGTTGGATGGTAATATCACTGTTCCCACTTCAAACCTTTGTGTACGACAAATAGGGTTATTAAATTAGAACAAAAATTTTTGAAAAATAATTTTTTTGTGAAAAATTAAATTTTTCGTTTTGAAATTTATTTTCGTAAATTTTTTCGAAAAAATATAAAAAAAATTTTGGAAAATCGTGGTACACCCTACAGTCGGCCCACGTTAAAACTTATTTATATATAAAATAATTTTATTATTTTTATATTTTATTATATATATTATTTTAACTTGTTTTTTTAACATTTTTTAAATATTTTGAAATTTTAACCATTTTTAAAAATTTATTTTGGTTGTGTGTACCCTACAGTCCGTGCACACTACATATCTATTTTTTGGCTTTTTTGTTCAAATTTGAGTAGTTTTCGCTACATTTTTCAAAAAAATTGTGTTGTATTTACGATACATCATTGCAATTGCTCGTTTTTAGCATTCTGCTATTGATTTTAAATTATTGGCTTGAATTTTCGTTCAATTTAGCCAAGAAAATACATCTTTTTGTGGGTTTTTTCTTATATTTATTACAACTTTCGATTTTTTACTGCTTCCTTTTTCTAATTTTTTCAAATAAATATCGATTTTTATTTGTGGTCCTTCGAGATATTTTGGTTTTTTGATTTCTTTCGGTCAAAAAGATTATTTTAACTTTTCCAATATGCCTTTAACTTCGCTGGACTTTTTCATCAGAGCCACTGATGCTCTTATTAAGTTCGATGCGAACTTTAGTGATCTGCAAGGTGACAATATGGACATATACGCCTTAGAAATTCAAGCTTCTGAGGTAAAAGAACTTTGGGCTAAGGTAAAAGATAGGTGTGAAACATGTTTGAACGACCTTCGCTCCGCCGATGAACCGTCTGACGACGAATTTACCTCTGTAGAGAGTAAATATCACGTCGCCTATAAAGCTTATGTGAACACTTTATCTTCCATTAATAGAAAAGTGGATCAACTTCGAGGTTCCCCGAAAGCGTCTGTCCCTGCTCAAGCGAGCAATCAACCGGCCACTCCTAGGGTACATCTTCCCCAATATGAGGAAACTGATTCGGTATCGGGTGCTTCGCATCATAC